GTGCTCCTGTGAGTAGCCAGGACGTCATGGAGTGGGTGGGAGGTATTATCTATGATTGACCTCATCTTGGACAACATCTGCCGCTCAGACACCCTAACGGAGTCCAGCTCCATCCCCACAACATTACTGGCCTTGTGGATCAGTTTATTTAGTCTGTTGGCATCTGTGACCCTCAACCTGCAGCCCCAGCATGAAACAGCATAGAGGATAACTGACTACAACAGAGATACAACAAGATAACATTAATTAGTAGGGAGAGTGAAAACTTCTGTTTACGTTTCCTAGCCACTTGGCTATGATAATAAACAGTAGACACTGATGTAGCTTACTAAATCTTTTGGACTGTGTTCAGCACAATATTAATTAGTCATTGTCAATTGTTGTCCTATTCTCATTGTATGACGAATTATGATGGCTGTTTGTTAGCATACTATGCATACTCTCTCTCTCTCTCTTCACACACACACACACACACATATATATATGTGTGTGTGTGTGTGTGTGTGTGTGTGTGTGTGTTCATGTTTATTTGGTTAAATTCAGTATGGTTCCCACACATAAAACATATTAAGGATTAATGTACAATGCTTAATATGTTTGATCCAGAAAAGATCAAATATATTTTTAAAATATGTGTTATCTTCCAAACACCAACTTTCTATTTCAGGGGTCGGCAACCTTTCTGATGATGAGTGCCATCTAACATTTCCTCAGAAGTCAATGTGCCATATGATTGCATTTGCAATAAATTTAATAACGCTCTATATTAACTGTTACACACTATATAGAACAACTTTATAGAATTATATTTGTTCACAGATGTTGGCAGCTATCAGCAAATAGTTACCAGTTATTTTGAAAAAAGACACTTTTTATCCATAACAAGAACAAATAAATTGGGCCAATATGGCATGTTTGTTAATACAGAGATACACATGTTAATGTGATCTTTGGTCTCCCACTCAGAGACACAGGTCTCCGAGTGTCCAGCATGCAGATGGCTATCTGAGGACAGTCTTCATGTGAGAGAAAATCTGCTCACACAGATATGTAGAGCCAAATACTGTCAATAAGGCCTCTGCAATGTTCTGAAGACCACTGTTCTCCTCCATGTCTTTTCATTACCCGTGTAGCTCAATGAAAACTCATCACCCTTAAACTCTGACTCACTCATCCCCACTGTTTTGTCTGTCTTCCCATCTCTGCACATTGTTCCCTAATTTGTGCCTGTCAGCCATAAAAAAAAAATAACTTTATTTTTTATGGAAGTGAAATACAAAGTGTTTAATGATAAAAAGTCAATGACTGCTTAAAACATTCTTATCATATAAGCATATTGTGAGAAAAACATAATGTGGCTGAGAAGTATTAATAAATTAAATGGTGGTTTCTATTTAAGTAATAATGTTACTTCTATTGTCCATACCCACTCCACCCATGTCTGCATTTTTTCCATGTGACTCTCATTGGTGTCATGTATAACTGGAAAGCAATATAGTTAATAAGAAACAAAAATCATAAAGTCTTACACTGGACAGTAATGTAGTGTAATGACAGTTGATTACACTGCAGAGCTTTCGTTGATGATTTACAGGAAGTAAGTGC